GTTGCGGGGAGCTCCCCACCCGTAACCGCGATTGCCCTCGGGCCGGCTACACTCCTTTGCGGCGTATACTTATTTAGCGTCCATGCTAACGCCGGCGCTACGCGTGGGAGAACCGATCCACAGGCCCCATGGACCGCACCTGTGTGAGCACAGGCCGCTCTCCGGAACCAGCGGTCCCTCGTCGCCTGAATGCACCGACCCCAACGTTGGCGACCGTCGCGGAGGCAACCCCCGCCACGAACGGGGTGTCCTTCGTGCACGGTTACTCAGGCCCGCAGGGCGTCACGCGATGGTAGTAGCTCACTTCTTTGAATCCGGCCAGCGACGCCGTCTACGTTGGGGCCGAGTCGAGAGCGCACCGCTAATGGCCGGCGCAGTAGCGCTGGCCAGCACAGGGTACATAGCTGCGATCGACGAAAAGGCCTGGGCGGGGCACGTCGGCTCGGCCCGGGCGTCCAGGGTTCCCACAGCGTGAGCCGGCATTGCCCACGGAGACAGCTCGAGAGCAGAGTACGCGAGGCGCAAGGTCGAGTCATCTTTTGGAGCGGGGGCTGGATCGCAGCCAGTTGCGGCCGCCGGGACAGGCTGTAGTCCGGCGAACGGTACCCTGAGGAGCTTAGACGACTGGCTCGTCCCTGCGTGTTATCAATAGCTTTACCGCTCCGGTTCTACTATGATTTACCGAAACGTCCGCCAAAAATCTCTGGGGTGCTTACGCATCGAACGTATACGAACATACTAGGGCGTCCCGCAACTGGTCGAGTAACTTCCGGGGATCGTGCCGGAGTCGGCTAAAAGACACCCCCAATTCGTGCGATAAGGTGGCGAGACGAAGAGCATAGGAAATACGGGCGGCCGCGAACAAGGGCCGGAGACGGCAGGGAGGGACACACGGGGCGGGGAGAACCCAGGGCGGAAAACTGAGGCACGGAGCAGGAGGGCGGAGGGGCAACGAAGCAGCCGGGAAAGGGGGCGCCAGCGCCGCGGGCGCGACGAGGGAGGCAAACGGACGAAGGGGACCGGAGCAGCGGGGAAGAACGGCCGGGACCAGCCGGCAAGGGGGCGAAAGCGCGAACGCACGAGGGCGAACGACACAACAGGCGACGGGAGGGCCCGGGGGGCGCAGCGCCGACGCCACGGAGGAGGCGCCAGCCGGCAACAAACAGCCCCAGACAAGGGGCAGACCAGCGGACGGGCGCGCGGCGGGAGGGGCGAACCCGAGAGACAGGGCGACGAGACGCGGGGGGCCACGGCAAGAGACGGGGCGAGAAGGGAGGGGAAGGCAGAGAGCGGACAGCGAAAAGAGAAAGGGCGAAGGGGGCGGGAGAGAGGGCAAGGAGAGGCGAGCACGAGAAAGCGGAGAGCGCGGCGCCACGGAAAGAAACAGGAGGGCAGGGGAGGAAAAGAGAGGAAGAAAGGAGGGCCAAAGGCGGAACGGGGGGAAAGGGAGAAGGGAGGAACGGAGGGACGAGAGGAACGAGGAGCAGAGGACGGCGAAGGCGGAGAGGGGAAGGAGAGGGGGGCGCAGGCCGGGGGGCGGAGGAAAAAGGCGGGAAGAAGGAGGGGGGAGAGGGAAGGAAGGAAGGGGAAGAAGGGCAAGCGAGAAGCAGAGGCCAAGGGCGGAAGACGGAGGACAGAAACGGAGAAGGCAACGGCGAAGCAGCCGGAGAAGGGGAAGGCCAAGGCGAGAGAACACAACAGCAAAGGAAAGACCGGGAGGAAAAGGAGGGAACAAGGAAGGGACAGGGCAAAAAAGAAAGGAGAGCCGGGGCCGCGGGAGAGCAAGCAGAAGGCAGACAGGGGGCAGGGAGGACGGGAGAGAAGGGAGAGGGCAAAGCGACGGGAGAGGACCGAGACACGGGGCGCGCGCGGGCCGCCGCCGCCGGGGGGGGGGGAGAGAGACCCGGGCGAGGGCAGCGCAACGGAGCGGGGACAGAGAACGGAGCGAAAGGAAGCCCGGCACACCGGGAGGCAGGAGGCGGGCGAGACACGCGGACACAGGCATAGGCAGGAGTGGGGCCAGGGCCAGGAAGTGGGGCAAGAAGGGACGCACGGGAGGGAAGTGGATGGGGTGGAGGAGAGAAGGGGAAGGAAACGGAGAAGGAGGCGGAGACGGGGCAGGAGAAAAGGGGAGGGACGAAGGAGGGAAGACAGGGCAGAGGAGATAGCGGGACAGGAGGAAAAAGGAAGGAAGGAAAGCGCACCACAATACGTAGGCAAGACAGGGACGAAGAGAACCAAAGGAAGGCGAACAAAGAAGTACGGAAAAGAGAAGACGTAGAAGAAGAGGAGCCAAGAGGGACAGAGAGGACACGAAGGGCCGAAAGGAGAGAACGGGAAAACAAAGGTACGAAAGGGGGAAGAGGGAGGAAGCAGAGGGCAGAAGAAGGAAAGACGGGGGAGGGCAGGCGAAAAGAGATGAAGTACGAGGGGAGAGGAGAGAAGAGCCGGGAAAGAGCGAAAGAGAAAAGGAGAAACGGGCGCGGGGCGCGGGAAAGCGAGAGGACGGAAAAGAACGAGACGCAAAGGAGGTGCAGGGGAACCCAAGAGGGAGAGGAGCCAGGGAAGCGCGGGGGCGAAACGACACGCGCGCACGGAGGCAGAGGGGGCGGAAACGGCGGGGGCGGGTGGGACGGAGGGGAGAGGCACGAAGGGCGGCAGGCGAGGCGCACACACGGGACGCAAGCCCGGAGCAGGGGAGGGGGCGGGCGAAACGCGGGCGGGCGAGAGGACGCCACAGGGCCGGGCGGGGCAAGGACGAGCGACCAGAGGAGACGGGCCCAAGGCGGAAGGGAGCACAGAGGCGCGAACCGCGGAGCGGGAGAACAAGAAGGTACCGGAGGAGGAGGGACCAGACGCACGAGCAGGCGCCGGGACGCAGGGGCCGCCAGGGAGGGCGCACAGCCCGGGGGACCAGAACGGAAGGAAGGACCGGGGCGGAGGCCGACGCGGAGGGCAGAGGAGCGGAGGCGCGCCACCGGAGCGCACGAAGGGGGGGGCGGGGAGCGACGCCGGCACGAGCCGCCGGGAAGGGACGCGACCAGGGGCGGGACGCCCGAGGGAGGGGCGGACTTCGAGGCGGAAGCACCCCAGAGAGGGGGGCGGACGGGGCGGTAAAGCAGTAGGAGAACCGGAGCGGGAAAGCGATGGAGAACACGCAGGACGAGCCAGCGGCGAAGCGCCGCAGGGGGTACCGGGCGCCGGACGACAGCCGGGCCCCGGCGGCCGCAACGGGGTCGGCGAGCCAGCCCCCGCGCCAAAAGGAGGACGCGACCGGGCGCCGCGCGGACGCGGCGCGCGAGCGGCGCCGGGGCAAGCGGCGCACGCGGGGGGAACCCGGGACGCCCGGGCCGAGCCGACGGGGCCCCGCCCAGGCCGGGGCGGCGAGCGCAGCGAGGGTACCCGGGCGGGGCCAGCGCGACGGCGCCGGCCAGGAGCGGGGCGCGCGCGACGCGGCCCCAACGGAGACGGCGGCGCGGGCCGGAGGCAAAGAAGGAGCGACGACCAGCGCGGGACGCCCGGCGGGCCGGAGGAACCGGCACGAAGACACCCCGGCGGGGCGGGGGGCCGCCGCGACGGGCGCCAACGGGGGGCGGGGCAGGCAGGCGACGAGGACGCGGGGGCCGGAGAGCGGCCGGGGCGCACACAGGGGCGGGCCAGGGGGCGGGGGAGCCGGGGCGCCCACGCGGAGCGCCGGCGGGAGCAGGGACGCGAAATAAGGATACGCGGCCAAAGGGGGGAGGGCCGGCCCGAGGGCAAGCGCGGGGCCGGGGGGGGAGCGCCCCGCACCAGCCGGGAGGGGGGGGCGAGCGCGGCGCGCGCGCGGGTGCCGCCGCCGCCGGGGGGGGGGGAGAGAAGAAGCGCGCGCACACCACAGCAAGGCGGGGCGGGGATGCGCCCCCACCCCCGGAACCGCGAGGCCCGCGGGCCGCCGACACGCCCTGGGCCGGCGCGGGACTGATGGAGCGGCCAGGCGAACGCCGGCGCGACGCGGGGAGAACCGGAGCCACAGGCCCCAGGGACCGCACCCGGGGAGCACAGGCCGCGCGCCGGAAACCAGCGGGCCCGCGGCCTAGGCACCGACCCCCAACGGGGGCGACCGGCGCGGAGGCAACCCCCGGCCACGAACGGGGGGCCGGCGGGCACGGGACGCAGGCCCGCAGGGCGGCACGCGAGGAGGAGCGCACGGCGGAAGCCGGCCAGCGACGCCGGCGACGGGGGGCCGAGGCGAGAGCGCACCGCTAAGGGCCGGCGCAGGAGCGCGGGCCAGCACAGGGGACAGAGCGGCGAGCGACGAAAGGGCCGGGGCGGGGCCACGGCGCGCGGCCCGGGCGGCCAGGGGGCCCCCACAGCGGAGCCGGCAGGCCCACGGAGACAGCGCGAGAGCAGAGGACCGAGGCGCAAGGGCGAGGCAGCCGGGGGGAGCGGGGCGGGAGCGCAGCCAGGGCGGCCGGCCGGGGCAGGCGGGAGGCCGGCGAACGGACCCCGGAGGAGCGGAGACGACGGGCGCGGCCCGGCGGGGGAGGCAAGAGCGGGACCGCGCCGGGCGACGAGGAGGGACCGAAAACGGCCGCCAAAATCGCGGGGGCGGACGCAGCGAACGGAAGACGAACAGACGAGGGCGGCCCGCAACGGGGCGAGGAACGGCCCGGCGGAGCGGGCCGGAGGCGGCGAAAAGACACCCCCCAAGGCGGGCGAGAAGGGGGCGAGACGAAGGCAGAGGAAAGACGAGGCGGCCGCGAACAAGGGCCGGAGGACGGCAGGGAGGGGACACACGGGGCGGGAGAACGTCCAGGGCGGAAACTGAGGCACGAGCGGAGAGGGCGGAGGGGCAACGAAGCAGCGGAAGGAGGGGCGCCAGCGCCGCGGGGCGCGACGAGGGGAGGGCAAACGGACGAAGGGGACCGGAGCAGCGGGGAGAGAACGGCCGGGGACCAGCCGGCAAGGGGGCGGAAAGCGCGAACGCACGAGGGCGAACGACACAGAACAGGCGACGGGAGGAGGCCGGGGGGGGCGCAGCGCCGGACGCCACGAGGAAGGCGCCAGCCGGCAACAAACAGCCCCAGACAAGGGCAGACCAGCGGACGACGGGCGCGGCGGGAGGGGCGAACCCGAGAGGACAGGGCGACGAGACGCGGGGGGCCACGGCAAAGACGGGGCGGAGAAGGGAGGGGAAGGCAGAGAGCGGGACAGCGAAAAGAGAAAGGGGCGAAGGGGAGCGGGAGAAGGGCAAGGAGAGGCGAGCACGAAAAAGCGGAGGAGCGGGGCGCCACGGAAGAAACAGGAGGGCGGAGGAGGAAAAGAGGAGGAAAGAAAATGAGGCCAAAGGGCGGAACGGGGGGAAAGGGAGAGAAGGGAGGGAACTGAGGGTACGAGAGGGAACGAGGGGAGCAGGACGGCGAAGGCGGAGAGGGGAAGGAGGAGGGGGGCGCAGGCCGGGGGGAGGAAAAAGGGCGGAAGGAGGGGGAGAGGGAAGGAAGGAAGGGGGAAGAAGGGCAAGCGAGAAGCAGAGGCCAAGGGCGGAAAGACGGAGGACAGAAACGGGGAGAAGGCAACGGCGAAGCAGCCGGGAGAAGGAAGGCCAAGGCGAGAGAACACAACAGCAAAAAAGACCGGGAGGAAAAAGGAGGGAACAAGGAAGGGACAGGGCAAAAAAAGAAAGGAGAGGCCGGGGCCGCGGGGAGAGCAAGCAGAAGGCAGACAGGGGGGCAGGGAGGACGGGAGAGAAGGAGAGGGCAAAGCGACGGGAGAGGACCGAGACACGGGGCGCGCGCGGGCCGCCGCCGCCGGGGGGGGGGGAGAGAGCCCGGGCGAGGGCAGGCAACGGAGCGTGGACAGAGAACGGAGCGAAAGGAAGCCCGGCACACCGGGAGGCAGGAGGCGGGCGAGACACGCGGACACAGGCAGAGCAGAGGGGGCAGGCCAGGAAGGGGCAAGAAGGGACGCACGGGAGGGAAGGGGAGGGGGAGAGAGAGGGGAAGGAAACGGAGAAGGAGGCGGAGACGGGGCAGGAGAAAGGGGAGGGACGAAGGAGGGAAGACAGGGCAGAGGAGGAGAGCGGGACAGGAGGAAAAAGGAAGGAAGGAAAGCGCACACAAGACGGAGGCAAGACAGGGGGACGAAGAGAACCAAAGGAAGGCGAACAAAAGAAGACGGAAAAAGAAACGGAGAAGGAAGAGGAGCCAAGAGGGACAGAGAGGACACGAAGGGCCGAAAGGAGAGAACGGGAAAACAAAGGGACGAAAGGGGAAAGAAGAGGGAAGCAGAGGCAGAAGAAGAAAGACGGGGAGGGCAGGGGCGAAAGAGAGAAGACGAGGGAGAGGGAGAGAAGAGCCGGAAAGAGCGAAAGAGAAAAGAGAAACGGGCGCGGGGCGCGGAAAGCGAGAGGACGGAAAAAAGAACGGAACGCAAAGAGGGCAGGGGAACCCAAGAGGAGTGAGGAGCCAGGGAAGCGCGGGGCGAAACGACACGCCGCGCACGGAGGCAGAGGGGCGGAAACCGGGGGGGCGGGGGGGACGGAGGGAGACGGCACGAAGGGGCGGCAGGCGAGGCGCACACACGGGACGCAAGCCCGGAGCAGGGAGGGGGCGGGCGAAACGCGGGCGGGCGAGAGGGACGCCACAGGGCCGGCGGGCCAAGGACGGGAGCGACCAGAGGAGACGGGCCAAGGCGGAAGGGGGACGCACAGAGGCGCGAACCGCGGAGCGGGAGAACAAGAAGGACCGGAGGAGGATGGGGACCAGACGCACGAGCAGGCGCCGGGACGCAGGGGCCGCCAGGGAGGCGCACAGCCCGGGGGACCAGAACGGCAGGAAGGAAGGACCGGGGGCGGAGGCCGACGCGGAGGGCAGAGGAGCGGAGGCGCGCCACCGGAGCGCACGAAGGGGGGGGCGGGGAGCCGACGCCGGCACGAGCCGCCGGGAAGGGACGCGACCAGGGCGGGACGCCCGAGGAGGGGCGGAGGACGGGCGAGGCGGAAGCACCCCAGAGAGGGGGCGGACGGGGCGGGAAAGCAGAGGAGAACCGGAGCGGGAAAGCGAGGGAGAACACGCAGGACGAGCCAGGCGGCGAAGCGCCGCAGGGGGACCGGGCGCCGGACGACAGCCGGGCCCCGGCGGCCGCAACGGGGCGGCGAGCCAGCCCCCGCGCCAAAAGGAGACGCGACCGGGCGCCGCGCGGACGCGGCGCGCGAGCGGGCGCCGGGGGCAAGGCCGGCGCACGCGGGGGGAACCCGGGACGCCCGGGCCGAGCCGACGGGGCCCCGCCCAGGCCGGGGCGGCGAGCGCAGCGAGGGACCCGGGGCGGCCAGCGCGACGGCGCCGGCCAGGAGCGGGGCGCGCGCGACGCGGCCCCAACGGAGACGGCGGCGCGGCCGGAGGCAAAGAAGGGAGCGACGACCAGCGCGGGACGCCCGGCGGGCCGGAGGAACCGGGCACGAAGGACACCCCGGGCGGGCGGGGGGGCCGCCGCGACGGGCGCCAACGGGGGGGCGGGGCAGGCAGGCGACGAGGGACCGCGGGGGCCGGAGAGCGGGGCGCACACAGGGGCGGGCCAGGGGGCCGGGGAGCCGGGGCGCCCACGCGGAGCGCCGGCGGGAGCAGGGACGCGAAAGAAGAGACGCCGGCAAAGGGAGGGGAGGCCGGCCCGAGGGCAAGCGCGGGGACCGGGGGGGGAGCGCCCCGCACCAGCCGGAGGGGGGGGCGAGCGCGGCGCGCGCGCGGGCCGCCGCCGCCGGGGGGGAGAGAGAGAAGCGCGCGCACACCACAGCAAGGCGGGGGCGGGGAGCGCCCCCACCCCGGGAACCGCGAGGGCCCGCGGGCCGGCCGACACGCCCGGGGCCGGCGGAGACGGAGGGAGCGGCCAGGCGAACGCCGGCGCGACGCGGGGAGAACCGGAGCCACAGGCCCCAGGGACCGCACCGGGGGAGCACAGGCCGCGCGCCGGAAACCAGCGGGCCCGCGGCGCCGGAAGGCACCGACCCCAACGGGGGCGACCGGCGCGGAGGCAACCCCCGCCACGAACGGGGGGCCGGCGGGCACGGGACGCAGGCCCGCAGGGCGGCACGCGAGGGGAGGAGCGCACGGCGGGAAGCCGGCCAGCGACGCCGGCGACGGGGGGCCGAGGCGAGAGCGCACCGCGAAGGGCCGGCGCAGGAGCGCGGGCCAGCACAGGGACAGAGCGGCGAGCGACGAAAAGGCCGGGCGGGGCCACGGCGGCGCGCCCGGGCGGCCAGGGGGCCCCACAGCGGGAGCCGGCAGGGCCCACGGAGACAGCGCGAGAGCAGAGGACGCGAGGCGCAAGGGCGAGGCAGCCGGGGGAGCGGGGGCGGGAGCGCAGCCCAGGGGCGGCCGCCGGGGACAGGCGGGAGGCCGGCGAACGGACCCCGGAGGAGCGGAGACGACGGGCGCGGCCCGGCGGGAGCAAGAGCGGGACCGCGCCGGGGCGACGAGGAGGGACCGAAACGGCCGCCAAAAAGCGCGGGGGGCGGACGCAGCGAACGGAAGACGAACAGACGAGGGCGGCCCGCAACGGGGCGAGGAACGGCCCGGCGGAGCGGGCCGGAGGCGGCGAAAAGACACCCCCAAGGCGGGCGAGAAGGGGCGAGACGAAGAGCAGAGGAAAGACGAGGCGGCCGCCGAACAAGGGCCGGACGGACGGCAGGGAGGGGACACACGGGGCGGGGAGAACGCCAGGGCGGAAACGGAGGCACGGAGCAGGAGAGGGCGGAGGGGCAACGAAGCAGCCGGGAAGGAGGGGGCGCCAGCGCCGCGGGGCGCGACGAGGGAGGCAAACGGACGAAGGGGACCGGAGCAGCGGGGAGAGAACGGCCGGGACCAGCCGGCAAGGGGGCGGAAAGCGCGAACGCACGAGGGGCGAACGACACAGAACAGGCGACGGGAGGGAGGCCCGGGGGGCGCAGCGCCGGACGCCACGGAGGGAAGGCGCCAGCCGGCAACAAAC